ATATATATTTATATATTTGTTCTTAATATATGTTGTTTGTATATCTGGAGTTTGTAACAAAAAAATTCCCCCCTGGGATTATTAAAGTATTTCTGATTCTGATGAATACTATTTGGGACTGTTTTAATTTTGTGTATCTGTGTCTCAATAAAACTTCCTGAATAAATAAACACACGAGCTGACTGCAAGTGAGTGCAGGACTGTTAAAGATGTGATATACTCCATAGAGCCACCAGGGGGCAGTGTTTGGTCAATGTAAGGACTGTTGAAACCAACATAACAAAGGCCTAGTCTCTCATTAGTTATTGGGCAATAATAACCTGTAATATGACCCATAATTAGCTATTATTGTGTCATGCCATTTTATTTGAATTTAAATGTTGCTGCATACGTATGGGGGCAACTTGTATGTGTGTGTGTCTGCAAGTATGGATGTGACTCTAGGTCTAGTTTATCTTTTCAATATCTTCTCTGTTATATTGATTAATGTCCAGCCGCTCATAAAAAGTCAGTAGGACCATAAAATGTTCCACGATGAATGGGAGATAATATAAAATGTAACTGTATCTAGATTTCAAACCAGTGTGATGTGTCATATTTTACTAGATGACATCATCATTTGATTCCGCAGACAGTGCTGGTCACAGTGTTTTGCCTGTCCATCGTATGAGTCTGCAGCTGCGCACTCATGTCAGCAGCGGCTATATTTAATAAACGAGCCACTGTCAAGCCAGCCACTATCATAATTCACTTCCGCTAAGGGGTTTCAAAATAAATCTCTGACATTGACAACACCCATTGTGCACCTCCGTACAGACCCCTGCACTGTTTCGCTTTATTAAAACAACCGCAACTAAATTCCGGTCTCGTTCTCACTGTCCCATGGTGGTTTGACACAGCTCGAGCATGGAGGTGTGTGTGTGTGAAGAATGTAATGTTGATGCACAGACTGAATAGACACATATATCCTAGAGAAGAAACGGGGTCAGCGGCAGGAAAAAGGAGGACACCTCTAAGTCATATCTTCGACTCTCGCCCTCCTCCGGTGACTCCCATGTCTCTCCCCGGGGTGGGTCTAACCCAAAAAATCCGCCATCCAACAATGGGCTGTGAGAGATCGGCTCAACTCAGAGAATCCTCTTGCAGCTGTTCAGAGAGCCGAGGATAGGACCAAGACATCGGACCGAGTCAATGAGGGTGGCTTGTCCGCTTTTGTCCTGCGTCTCTCGGCCCGGTGTCTGGCAGCCAGCGGCGCACTGCGCGTAAATGCGGTCAGAGTAGAGAAGACAGGCCTCCGCTGAACACTTTAAATGTTGAAATTCAGTCTCTGGCAGCCATCGTGGTAGTGAATCGATTTCCTTATAGTTCCGCTGAGCGGATGGAGTGAATTGAGCAAAAGGGGGGAGAGATAGACTGCAGCTTGGTTGCGTGTGATGATAGGAGACACAATGACGCTCTTGTCTCTTCTGGGTCGGATCATGCGCTATTTTCTCCTCAGGCCTGAGACATTGTTTCTGTTGTGCATAAGCCTGGCGCTGTGGAGTTATTTCTTTCACACTGACGAGGTGAAAACCATCGTCAAGTCCAGTCGGGATGCCGTGAAGATGGTGAAGGGGAAAGTGGCGGAGATGATGCAGAATGACCGGCTGGGAGGCCTCAGTGTCCTGGACGCAGAGTTCTCCAAGACCTGGGAGTTCAAGAATAACAACGTAGCTGTGTACTCCATACAGGGGAGGCGAGACCACATGGAGGACCGGTTCGAGGTGCTCACCGACATCACCAACAAGAGCCATCCGTCCATATTCGGGATATTTGACGGTCACGGTGGAGAGGTAGGATGAGAGGGAGAGGTTTCTCGGGCCAGGTTTTTTTTTTTTTTTCATCAGAATGCGTCTGTCTGGACTCATCCAGAGCCAAAGACTTGCTGCAGCACACGAGTTAACATCATTTGGAAGCAGATACAGAGACAGACAATAAGTTATTATGAGAATGATATGAACATATTCTAGGGAGGGACATTCAATTAATATTTTAAGAGATAGAAAATAACAATAGGTGACTATAAACTCTGTTAGCACCACAGAGATGCCAGGTTTCTATGGGAACACAAGTATTTGTTCTGGGACACAGACATGCACCACTGGTGTTTCTCACTTCATACTCACCCCATTTTCAAACAGAACAATACCCCCCACCACCCCTTCCCTCTCCATTATTGTCTTCTTTTGTGCCAAACCCCCCTCCACCCCCCCTGCCAATCAGGGAGTTAACTTGGGTTTCATCACAAAGCACTTGTGTGTGTGTGCATGGGCCGTGTGTGTGTGGGTTTTGTCTATCTTTCCCCCACTCCCTGTGTTGTCAAGGGTCAGTGGTTTCTCATGGCTGCTTTCAGACCACGTGTCCTGGACCCCATCTGTCACACCACCACTGTCCCCCAGAGGTTCCCGTGTATTTCACTGAATGATACTGGTTTCTGATTTAGAGCCCAATCTTCCTCTTTCACACCATGTATTGTTATTTCTTCATTAATATAACACAAACAGATGAACAGACTGCCAGCAGATCTCTGGTGACTCAAACGAGAGCCCCTGAAGTGTGAGAAACATAAAGATGTTAGCGTTTTACTCGCTGAGTGCTGCAGTTATCAGTGAACTTGTAGGGCTACTTGGTCCGTCATCGTTGTTATGAGGGGAAATAGAGTTGAGGTTTTAGTCATAATTGTGAGGCTTATAACAGAATGATAGTTACACTAAGCTCTGGCTGTATTGCCAATTATCATCTCAATTAACCTATCAATTGTTTGGTCTATAAAGAGCCCAGGTGAGGTCTTCAAATTGTAATCTGAAACCCAAATATATTCAGTTTGACGATTTAAAAAAACTGTGGATATTCACATTTGAGAGGCTGGAAGCTGGAAAGTTTTGGCATTTTTGCTTAAAAATTACTTCCGTTTAATTAGGTTTATTTTGACTACAGGAGATTAATGAGTCTTAAGTTAAGAGCTGAAAGTTGTTTTATAATTATTCCAGGTCTAGTTTGAATAATTATTTTAGTAAGTATATAAATCCAAGAACCCATTTTAAGCATTATGAAAAAGCACCTTATAAGCTCTGTGTACCTAGTGTTATATATAACTAAAAGATTAATGGTTAAGCAAACTTATAAAGTTCCAACTACACTCTAATGGTTACATAAACAAGTAATGTAACTGTGGCCTCAGAATGAAAAGGAAATCAGTTTGTGCCCGGTGATGCCGTCACAAATAATTTTCTATAAAGTCACACCAGAACATTCCTCCCTCCCGCACAGGAATGACGAAGGGAACTGCTTGTTCTCTTTTTTAAAAGATTAGTTAAAAGAGTTACCGTTGGGTTGTGTTAAATCATAGAGAGGGAGACAACATACAGAGAGCAGAGGGTGTTTACCCATCTGGATCGGTATGTCTATTCCTGTCCCCTGAACAAATATTTATCCTTCCTGTCTATCATGACATCTCCTCCCTTACTCTCACTTTTTCTCTCTTGCGAGTTTTGCTCCTTTTCCTCTCTTTCTTTAGGTAAATGTGCATCTCAGTGCATATGTGTGATCATACTGTATGTGTTTGCCCCACTCATAAATTTCCTTTATGCTTTATTACCATCCTTTTATCTTATCTTACTCACAGTCAAAAAGGGTGCGACTCAAAGAGAAAGGTTTACTCTGACATCGATCGTATTCATTCACCAGCATCAATACACGGACCTCGTCCTGAGCTATGGCAACACAAAACCCATAATCACAGTTTCTAATCTACAAAACCGCTGTTGAGGGTCATTTTGAGAAAGCTGTGTTTGCCTTCTGGCACCCCTCAATGCTAAATGATGTTGGTAAAAATTACCACATGTGTGGATATCCTTGGACATTTATTTGCTAGTGCATTTTTATGCAGTTTGGCATTACTGTCAACACACAAACACACACA